CTCTGGAAGTACCATGAGGTAAGTACCACAGTGTAATGTAAGCATGTAAATACAAACAGCTGTTGTCCAGTATGTGATGCAACTTGATGGCCTGGGAGGCTATTCCTTCACCAAGATGGACCCTGCAGACCTCCAGTAGTAGCTGCAGGATTAAAACTGTTTACAAGATATCACACAGATTATGGGTACTCCTTACTACACAATCTTAGTACATTGAGATGGCAGTGTTATTACAAACTTGTGTATTTCCTTGTGGTTACTGTTTTCATATGGTGGTTTAGAGGGTTGGTGGAAGGATGGTCTAAACCATTGGTTTTCGACCGCTACGACCCAGTATCAATCCCGCATTGGGCACTTTTTCTGATTTAAAAAAAAAAAATGCTCCAATGGCCCTGATTCTTGAAAAAGTCCAACCCCACCAGCGAGTACAAGTAACCAAACGGGGCTCTGGCACATTTGTAAGTGCAAAGTCGAACTGCATTTCACATGTGTAGACATGTGGTGCACTTACAGTAAAAGCAATCACCTACTTCTACCCACCATGATTATCATGGCCTGGTCCACGTGTACTAGAGATAAGCAAAATATATATATATATATGGTAATTTAAACCAACAACCCCATATTGTATATAACTTATAACAAGATTTTCATGTTGTATAATAGAAACACATCTGTAAATGATTATACGCATGATTGACATGTGTCATTACATCATCATATGTAATGTACTTTGTACAAACTGAGGATAAATAAATAAAACTATGTAATAGATTAAGAGTTGAGCTGAAGCAAGAGATAGAAGTCATAACGTCTAAAATCGAGATAGATTTAGAATTCCCACAACAAGGTCTAAAGATGGAAACTGCCACAGCGCCAGTGTCCAAATTCACCCGTGATCCACCCTCATGTGCATTTGTTGAAATGCAACATTCCCTTTCTCAGAAAAGGTATATAAGGCCCCCCGTCTTACCTATAAATACAGTCACTTCACCATCTGCGTGAGCCCTCGTCAGTTGTACCCCAGGTCCACCTCATCCACCATGTAGCCCAGTAAGAACTCTTCTATCTTCATCTTTCGCTCCTAGCTCAACTTTTATCTGTTCACTGACCTTTCTTAGTGCAAATGTGTCTTCATTTTTTTTGTGTATGGACATTCCCAAGCTTTCCACTCTGCCTCAACCACGACTGCCTGTACTTTGTGAGAACTGTAAAAGGTCTTCCAAGGTGCAGAGAGGTACTGGAAAACTCCTTATCCTGACTGTTCCTCTCGATCAACACAGTATAGCGAGAGTCAACAGGATCACATCATAGATTAGGTCGACTGGAAACCTCATCACAAGTTAGTTGATAGGATTCTACAAGAGGCTACAGGACCTCACCACATATATATATAAAGTGGTTTTCTTTCAAAAATGTGTAAAGCCTCTCAAGGCAACTTCACACAACTGTCTCTGAGACATACATATTGTTCAATGTTATAGAAGGTGAAAAAAAAAAACCTTATCAGACTTAATCCTACCTCTAATGAGAGACCAGCCATGTTTTTAGATGGTAGTATTAGTTATTAAGCTTTTCTCAGTAATCTTTTTGTGGTCATTATTTTTAGAAATACCAAGGGATTAATTGTTCTCTGTGTAAAAAAAGGAGAGAGAGAGAGTGTTGATATAGGAGATAGAAATGAACACTCCAGAGTTTAGTGGTAACAAGATGACTACATTACTAGAAAAAGACGTGCTGACATGGCTCCAGCAATTGTAGTACACATGGTAAAGGCCATGATAATCATGGTGAATAGAAGTAGATTACTGCTTTTACTGTAAGTGCACAAATGTCTGCACAGGTGACTTGCACTTACAAGTGTACCAGAGCCCTGTTTGGTTACTTGCACTCAATGGTAGGGTTAGACTTTTGCAAGAACCGTGGGCTATTGAAGCATTTTTTTTTAATCAGAAAAATTGCCCAATTGTAATTGTGTAAGATAAGAGAATCAGGGTTAAAAAAACATTCAAAGTCAACCTTGTTTAGATGTAAGAATTATCAATGTGATAAAAGATAACCAAAAAAAAAAAGGAGACAGATGAGAAATGCAGGTTTCAAAGTTATAAAATTTATTTCTTTTTTATTATTATTACATTTTAATGAAAAAAAAACCAACTTAAATATGTAAAAAAAAAAGGGATAGGATAGGTAAGATAAAGGGTATGGATAGAAACAAAAGGTTAGTTACACAGAAATGGGGAGATAACAGGATGGGAAGAAAATACATCCATTAAAAAATAAATTCTTTTTTTTTTCTGTTAATTATCATTTTTTTTACAACTTTTTTTTAAATAAACGTCCTTCCTGGCAAACCTTAGACATTGTATAAAGCTGCAAGAGAGAGGGGGTGATATATTTTAATTAAAAAATGATGTATAGCAAACAAACAAACAAAACTTGGGAAGGAAGGTTAAAAAATTTGGTACCAAAGAAGGTAATATCACAGCTGGCGAGGCGGGGAAGTGAGACACTCTGGTCTCACCTCTCTTCCAGAGTGACCGTGTCTTGAGGATAGATACTGAGGTCTTCTAAACTTCTAGAATCATCTAGTCCTGTCAACTGTACACAAACTAGCGTTAATTGGAGTACAAAAAAGGTGAAAAAACATAGGCATTTTAAGATTATAGAATGAACTAGTTGTTTGTTTTTTGCTTATCCCTAGTACATGTGGTACAGGCCATGATAATCATTGTGGGTAGTTAGCGACTGCTTTTACTGTAAGTACACCACATGTCTACACATGTGAAAAGCAGTTCGATTTGCACTTACAAATGTGCCAGAGCCCCGTTTGGTTACTTGCACTCGATGGTGGGGTTGGACTTTTGCAAGAATCGGGGGCCATTGGAGCATTTTTTTTTTTTAAACAGAAAAAAGTGTCCAATGCGGGAATCGAACCCGGGTTGTAGTGGTCGAAAACCAAACGGTTTAACCAGCCTTCCACCGACCTCCCCAAAAACTTAACGTTGTGAACTTAACGATTTGATTTCCGATTAAAAAAAAAATCGATATATAAAAATCGATAAAAAATAAATAAATTTCAATTCATTTTGTGAATACATTCTAAACTTTCTACAAAATCTGGATCTCTAATATTTTCATGAGTTGAATAATGTAAATAACTTATGTAAATAAACTTTTCTCCTTGTTTGGCGCAAGTATCCCTTGCGGGATATAGCGCTTTCGAAATAAAATAATTGTATAATTATCAAATTTCGAAACTATTTTAAACGCGTAATATTCTTTTTGAAATTAAACAATTTCTACTGTCCTTACTGCAATGGGAAAAATTAATGGGAGGGCCTGGCTCATCAGTGGTGAACCCTCTCAGCGGTTTCGCCAGTTTCATCTACCATACCGCTGTTATATTGCATTTTTTGGAACTTCCTTTTATAGTGATACTGATGCTACTCTTGGAATTTTCCATTGCAGTAAGGGCAGTAGTAATTGTTTAATTTCAAAAAGAATCTTACGCGTTTAAAATAGTTTTGAATTTTTATAACAGATGGCGCGCTAGTGCATCATATTGTCAGGAGGACAGAGTTTCCTGGTATTCCCTCTTATCTGGACCGACCAGTCGGGGTAAACAGTGGCGCCACGGAAAAGGAGGAAAGATCTCAGTTCTCCCCTCTTGCTCTAACTACTGGGTCGATTTGGCTCATGTAACTCTTATTTTATATTTAAAATCTCTCATATAACTCATCAAATAAATATTTAAAGTAATTCGAAGGCCTAGTTAATTATTTCTCCTCGCGACAATATAGGTAAATTATATATGTATAAATGGATTTTCTCAACTTATAGCTATAAATGATATTTTTTCCAATATATACCTTTTTATTTAAAGATTTTAATACAAGAAAATAAGACCTAATCCAAATAATTTAATAGAGTGTGACGTTTCAGCAACGGCATTGTCACCATCATCAGACAAAAGAATAAATGAGAAAAACTATCACAGCAAGTTCTTAAATAGTACTGTTATCAAGTGTTTGTTGTTGTTGTTGTTGTTTCTTATCCCCTTGTGTAAAGATTACACGAATTCCATGAGTTCATGCTCCTCGAGCTGAATGGGGTGTAGGGGTGCAGCTTTCGTTGATAATGGCACACTTTGGTGAAAGTCTGACTTTGCCTGTAGTTTGAAGCCGTTCCTAACATGGAAGCAGATGCCTTTGCCGCCGACTCTAACATGAGTACAGACGCAGCTCCTCCATATCCCTGGAGTGGGACCCTTGCTGAGGTCCATCAACTGGGTCAGTTGAAGTCAGGATTTTTAAAGAGGTCTACTCCTCTTCTAACAATGCTGCTGTTGGTCCGCGACTGCTTATTTGTCAGAGTTATTCTGCTTGTTTCGCAGCTGGCCTTCATATCTGAAGGTCATTCCCCTATCCGCCACCTGGGGACGCGCCCTATAGCAGTCAGCTCTGCCAAGGGTATCAAGTGTTTAAACAAGATAACAGATAAGGAAAAAAAAGTTTTTTTAAGACAACTTGAAATATTCTTCTTAGAATTAAAAGTGGATTTTTTTTCTTAAAGGCATATCTGTAAATATCATTTATATTTCCTCTTTCTTCCATTCTATTAATTGAAGCACATGTCTTTTGAAATTCATTCAAAGATTTATTCAATTCTAAGAAGAATATTTCAATTTGTCTTAAGACTATTTTTCCTTATCTGTTATCTTGTTTAAACACTTGATAACAATACTATTTAAGAACTTGTGCTGTGATATTTTTTCTCATTTATTCTTTTGTCTGATGATGGTGACAATGTTGTTGCCGAAACGTGACACACTATTAAATTATTTGGATTAGGTCTTATTTTCTTGTATTAATGATAAGGCACAATTTGGATTATAGATTATAAACACAAGGTAGTAAGACTAAATAAATAAATAGGGTGTTACGTTTCGGTAACAGCGTTGTTAGCATCTTCAGACAAAAGTATTGAATGAAGTATTTTTTTATTTGGATTTGGTCTTATTACCTTGTGTTATTGTATATATATATATATATGAAAAAATAGTACAAATGTAACATTGTACTGGGATAAGGTGCATAAATTAAGAAAAAGGCATCTCCTTATGGTGCAACTGAAAGTTGCTGATGGCTGGCGCCATCTATCGGAATAAATATCAACTATTCTCGTTGATTTTTAATTATTCCAGAAAGATGGCGCCAGCCATCAGCAACTTTCAGTTGCACGATAAGGAGATGCCTTTTTCTTAATATATATATATATATATTTTTTGCTTATCCCTAGTACACGTGGTACAGGCCATGATAATCATGGTGGGTAGTTATAGCGACTGCTTTTACTGTAAGCGCACCACATGTCTACACATGTGAAAAGCAGTTCGACTTTGCACTTACAAATGTGCCAGAGCCCCGTTTGGTTACTTGCACTCTCTGGTGGGGTTGGACTTTTGCAAAAATCGGGGGCCATTGGAGCATATTTTTTTTTAACAGAAAAAAGTGTCCAATGCGGGAATTGAACCCGGGTCGTAGCGGTCGAAAACCAAACGGTTTAACCAGCCTTCCACCGACCCCCCTGTTATTGTATTAAAATCTATAATCCAAATTGTGCTTTATCATAAATTAAAGATTTATTTATGGATTGCTCTATTTTCAAAAACATTTCCTTATGTTGATGAAGTTTTGTCCCCATGAGTGTCATATCAGTAAGTGTGGATGTACTCACATCACGGCGAGGCCAGCTGGACAACACCTTGTATTCCTCTGGAGGGTATCCCAAGGATGCCAGGAAGGTTAGCAGCATCTTGAGAGGATCAGCTGCCAGGAACCTACGGGTGATGGTCTGTCCATTGGGGAGCCGGATGCGCACTTGGCTCAGTTTGCGGCTGTCATCTGCTGGGGGTTCAGGCCCCACCTGCATCTCCAGGCTCTGTCTGATAGCTTCTTTCACTGCGTCTTCCATCCGGAGTTTCTCTAGGGCCTTCTGTTCTTGTTCTTCTTTCTTCTGTCGTGCTTCTTCCTGTATCATAACACTTGTTTTATTTTTTCTGGCTCAAGGTAATAAGACCAAATAAATAAATAGTGTGTGATGTTTCGGTAAAAATGCTGTTACCGGTCGTCTCTCCAAACAAAACTAGACACCATCTCTACAAACTAGTGGACTCAGGTCAGTAACAAAGCTACAACACCAACTTTGGTAAATTGCATCCACCTAGAGATCCACATGGGATCAAACAAAATCTTCACAATCTACCAAAGAGGTGTTTAGCTGGCAAAGTAGCTAGGCCAAATCTATGTCCAAAATATAGATGGAAATTTGGTCGGGAGGAAATTGAACTGTAATATTTGAGATGAGACCTTTTATTTTAATAGATCAATTTTTTCCCAGATAAATTCTCAACTAAATGGAATCTAACCAAGTTTACAAGTGAAGTTTTACTGGGGTGATGATCATAATGTATTGATCTGATGTATAATTGAAGGGAGAGGTACCACTTTTGGTACAAGAATACCATGTAACTCCATGTTGTATTCTAAGTCTGTAAATCTGTCCTTGTCATTTCACCAGTTTAAACAGCTGTTTGGTAAATTGGACCTCCTCTCATAGTATGTTGTGTCCCTGTACTGATGAGGGCCATAGTTTGATGCCATGGTATACAGGTTGTTGGATTTTTGTCTGTATTTGTCTAAACTGGTGTTGTGGCTTATTCTTTATTATTGCTAGTAAAGTTTTTTACTAGGGAGATAAACATAATGTTATCTTTCTGTTGTTGTTGTTTCTTATCCCCTTGTGTAAAGATTACACAAATTCCATGAATTCATGCTCCTCGAACTGTGATCTTATGGAATGGGTTTTTAGGGGTGAAGCTTTCATTGATATTGGCACCATGATCCAGGAAAACCTTTATTGTTCTGATGTTCATAATTAGAGGTAGAGATGGCTTTCTAGCAGTGTTGGGCATTAAAAAATTATTTTTCAATTAAATTGAAGTACAATTAACAATTAATTAATTGTTAATTAGAAAAGTGCAATTAACAATTAATTAATTGTTAATTGTATGAATACAATTAATAATTAATTAATTGTTAATTGTAAAAATACAATTAACAATTGATTAATTGTTAATTGTGAAAATTACAATTAACAATTAATCAATTGTTAATCTTTAATAAATCATTTTAATTAATATTTGCCCAACACTGCCTGAGATAAAAAGTGTTTTTATTAAATACAACACACCTTTACCATCGTCAGCTGCAGTTGAACGCCTTTTTTCTTTTGCGACAATGACAAATCTGCCAAAGAGTCACAAATTGTTGGACAGCATGTTCGAGAAAAGAGTGGTACTGAAATGCAGTGTTGGGCATTAAAAAATTATTTTTCAATTAAATTGAAGTGCAATTAACAATTAATTAATTGTTAATTAGAAAAGTGCAATTAACAATTAATTAATTGTTAATTGTATGAATACAATTAACAATTAATTAATTGTTAATTGTAAAAATACAATTAACAATTGATTAATTGTTAATTGTGAAAATTACAATTAACAATTAATCAATTGTTAATCTTTAATAAATCATTTTAATTAATATTTGCCCAACACTGCTTTCTAGGTACATGAATAATTTAATTTTTTTTTCTTTTGTTTATCCCTAGTAGAAAACTAACTTTGTCCTTCATTTCTGGCACTAATTAATGAAATATCAAAGAAAAGGTATATAGCGATATTCCACAGGATTATATCCCGGAACACAGTGTTCTCCCTTGTGAACTGGCGAATCAGGAGGATGTTACTCCCCTGACGGAGTCCAGACTACCCTTGGCAGGGGAACCTCCTGATGTGAATTTTTTAAATTGTAAATTTTTAACTGCCTAACTCTCCGGAGTGTAACAATTGACTGAGTTGTCAATAAATGTGTTTTTAATTGTCAAAAATTGTCACTCGCTGGTTGGGTTGAACTTTTGCAAGAATTGGGGGGCAATTGTGGAGCTTTTTTTTTTTTTAATTAGAAAAAAAGTGTCCAATGCGGGAATCGAACCCGGGTCGTAGCAGTTGAAAACCAACGGTTTAGACCATCCTTCCATAGACCACCTTTGAATAATGTAATGTGTACAAACATAGAGAGAGAGAAGGGAAGTTCTACCTTTGCTCTGTCGGCTTTGAGGGACTCCTCGTACGCTGCGTCCTGTTCCCTTTTGACTCTGTCCCTGGCCAGTCTTTCTTCTTCCTCTCTCATCTCAGTTGCCACCTCGGCTCCAAACATGTCTGTAGCGTGGATCAGCCGGGTCATTAGTTCATCCAGAGCTACCAGCCCGGGGACAATGGCCGCCACCTCCAGCGAGGACCTCAGCCGTGTGACTACCAGCAGTACGGGCAACTGTTCTACCTCCATGGTACGGATAGTTGCCGCAGCTGTTGATCCCAGGTGTTGAGTGGCAGTGGACAGAAACCTGACAGCAGAGAGATTAGTATGTAAATATGTCAACAAACAACTTCTAGGAAATTAAAGCATTATAGCATGAATATTTCAAAACTTCCACTTACTTCTTTATCTGATGATGGTAAAAATGCTTTTACCGAAACGTCACACACTTTTTATTTATTTGGATTTAGTATCTTATTACCTTGTGTTAATAGAAAACACAAGTTTTCCTTGATAAGGAAGACCAAATCCAAATAAATAAATAGTGTGTGACATTTCGGTAACAGCAATGTTACCATTTTCAGACAAAAGTACTGAGAAAAAATTCTCATTCAGTACTTTTGTCTGAATATGGTAACAATGCTGTTACCGAAACATCACACATTATTTTTTTGGATATGGTCTTATTACCTTGTGTTTATATTTCAACAACTTCTTTTTATTGGAACTAAAAGCATTATATATAACACAAATGTTTCTTTAAAACATAAGTCTCATGCTCTACCAACAAAGGTAATAGCCTACAGCACCCGGTGTTCCCAGGTGGTCACCCTCCCAAGTACTGACAAGGCCTGATATTGCGTCGACCTGGAGCGTAGTTTAATGAATCATTCCAACTTGCGAAGCGTTCGAACCTGTACTAGTCGATTTTTTTTTGTACTCCCACGTGGTCTAGTGGCTAGGATATCTAGCTTTCACCCAGAAGGCCCGGGTTCGATTCCCAGGAGTGGGAATTTTTTATGGGACTCGAAAATCATACACTTTGATTAGTAGCCTGTCAAACCATATTCTCTCTGTCTTTTTTTGCTTATCCCTAGTAGACGTGGTACAGGCCATGATAATCTTGGTGGGTTAGGCGACTGCTTTTACTGTAAGTGCACCACATGTCTACATATGGTACAGGCCATGATAATCCTGGTGGGTAGTTAGTGACTGTCTTTTACTGTAAGTACACCACATGTCTACATATGGTACAGACCATGATAATCCTGGTGGGTAGTTAGCGACTGTCTTTTACTGTAAGTACACCACATGTCTACATATGGTACAGACCATGATAATCCTGGTGGGTAGTTAGCGACTGTCTTTTACTGTAAGTACACCACATGTCTACATATGGTACAGGCCATGATAATCCTGGTGGGTAGTTAGCGACTGTCTTTTACTGTAAGTACACCACATGTCTACATATGGTACAGACCATGATAATCCTGGTGGGTAGTTAGCGACTGTCTTTTACTGTAAGTACACCACATGTCTACATATGGTACAGACCATGATAATCCTGGTGGGTAGTTAGCGACTGTCTTTTACTGTAAGTACACCACATGTCTACATATGGTACAGACCATGATAATCCTGGTGGGTAGTTAGCGACTGTCTTTTACTGTAAGTACACCACATGTCTACATATGGTACAGGCCATGATAATCCTGGTGGGTAGTTAGCGACTGTATTTTACTGTAAGTACACCACCTGTCTACATATGGTACAGGCCATGATAATCCTGGTGGGTAGTTAGCGACTGTATTTTACTGTAAGTGCACCACATGTCTACATATGTGAAAAGCAGTTTGACTTTGCACTTACAAATGTGCCATAGCGCCATTTGGTTACTTGGACATGCTGGTGGGATTGGACTTTTGTAAGAATCAGGGTCCATTGGAGCATTTTTTTTTTTAACATAAAAAGTGCCCAATGCAGGAATCAAACCCGGATTGTAGCAGTCGAAAACCAAACGGTTTAGACCATCATTCCACCGACCCCCCCTTAAGCAAAACTTTTACTATAGAAGCAGAAACATTGTACAAGCCTTCGGGGTACACAATCATGAGATGTCCTATCTACTCAATAAATCAAGAAGTGGATGAGACCAACCTGCTCATGCCCAGATCAGAGGTGAGGTCCCAGCCGAAGGTGACAAAGTTGGTTGTGAGGTAGGACACTACGGTCTCTGCACAGAGCAGCTGACTACAGAAGACGTTGGCTTGAACGCTGCCGTCGTGGTGGAGGTACACTGCCAGGGGTCGCCTCTGTCACACACAAAGACATATTGTTGTTGTTTCTTATCCCCTTGTGTAACGATTACACCAATTCCATGAGTCCATGCTGCTCCAGCTGTTTATAGACAGTATTGTTGTTGTTGTTTCTTATCCCCTTGTGTAAAGATTACACCAATTCCATTCCAGAAACATGTACTGTAGGTATTGACCTGTCTCACAGACATTTGGTTAGCAAGGTTTTGCAGTATCTCTCTCATACCGAAAACACACTACAAACTCTTCTTCTTTCTAATCTCCACTCAATCATATTAGGTTATCAAGTTGTGACCCTTGATGGTGTCTGTTTGACAAACATCATGGCTGGGTGAAGTAGAATGCTTCTGCCTTTGTCATTAAGACTGGAAACCCCCTTTGCCGGTCCCAAGCCCGGATGAAAAAGGAGGAAGGGGAGCACTAACAAGCTCACTAAAAAACCTGGGCTCAGCTGGCATTCTGATAGTACCCTGTAAGGACTCCAGGAATACAGGATGAGCAGCATTTGTACTCCATGTTTGGAGCAGCTGTACATGGCATCTGTTCCTCATGTCAGAGGCAGCCATTTCTTTTGGAGCTAAGTCGGCGTGTCACTGAGTAATGCTCCCAGTCTTAATGAGAAAGGCAGACACATTCTACTTCATCCAGTCATGATCTCAAGCTTTACAAGCTTGATACCTTAGTATGATTGAGTGGATATAAGAAAGAGGAAGACAATTTAATTATATATTATTTCCACCTTTGTAACAATTGAATATAGAGGAATCAAAATTATTGTTTAAATTGTCAAAATTATCTAGCCTGACAAATGATAAAATAGGTTGAAGAAGACCAAGAGATATTACCAAACTCTCCCAGGTTGGGAGAAAGTCCACAGAGAGAAGGGAATTGAAGTAAAGATTCTCCCAACATCCAAAGCTGTGACAAGGAAACTCACCTCTTTAGCAGGCTTGAGGCAGGAGTTCTGTAGGGCCTCCAGAAATGTTCCTTGGAAGAAATCTGGATGGCATGGTCCGTATCTGTGGTGGTGGACACAGGTCAATTCCTCTGTTGAGTGGAGAGTTACACAAGGTATCAACACATCCAACCCAAATATATAGTGTTACTATATATGTAGAGTAGAATACAGTTAAACCTCTCTATAGCACCCAGCTGATAAAATCCATTTAAAAATAAATAGATTTTCAATATCCTAAAGAGTAAAGTTACGATGGACTGATATCAGCTAGGAAGACAAGAGAGTTTCTAAAAAGGACTCTGTATCAAGTGATCTTCTAGAGGAAGTGGGAAAAACCACAGAAATTCTTTCAAAGTGTAAGAGAAAGTGGTGGAAAAAAGTGCTCAGGTTCAAACCTTTTTTCAAACTGTTCGATGAAGTGCATCACGGCTTCCTTCTCATCTGTGAAGTCTGGGGGAACTGGACACAACACACACAGAATACACTTACAACTACTGGAAATCACCACAAAGCTGTCAGCATCAAAAAATACTAAAGGGGGTCGGTGGAAGGATGGTCTGAAATGTTAGTTTTCGACCGCTACAACCTGGGTTTGATTCCCGCATTGGACACTTTTTTTTTTGATTAAGAAAAAATGCTCCAATGGCCCCCGATTCTTGCAAAAGTCCAACCTCACCAGCAAGTGCAAGTAATCAAACGGGGCTCTGGCACATTTGTAAGTGCAAAGTCGAACTGCTTTCACATGTGTAGACATGTAGTGTACTTACAGTAAAAAGCAGTCGCTAACTACCCACCATGATTATCATGGCCTGTACAACATGTACTAGGGATAAGCAAAAAAAAAAGATTTATAACATCTCAAGCCATTGAAGTAGTTAGTGACTGACAGTAAGTACACCACATGTCTACAAACAGTAGAAAGCAGTTCTACTTTTGCTCTAACAAGTGTGCCAAAGAGCTCCGTTTGATCACTTGAACTTACTGATGACCTTTTACAAGAACGGGGGCCATTGAGCATTTTTGTCAGGATTCCATCCCGGGTCATAGCGGTGGAAAACCAAATGTTTAGACCACTTTTCTATCGACGCAGAATCAGGGTAGAGGCAAGCAGTACTCACCGAGGGGCTGGGGCCGGGTTGAGGTGCCGCGAAGTCTGGGTGGAAGGGAGAACATTCCGTCTTCACCCCCCACATAGCCTTCTGTGGCATCTTCAAATTCATCTGCTTCTTCACTCTCATCAGAGGAGATGTCGTTCATTGTCTGTACACACATCACCTATCTTTCAACTCTGCCCTTGCCGGTCCCAAAACCGGATGACAAAAAAGAAGGGGTAGCAGTAACAAGCTTACTAAAAAACCTGGGTTCAGCTGGCCATGCTGATAGTACACTGTAAGGTCTCCAGGTATACAGGATGAGCAGCGTTTGTACTCCATGTTAGGAGTGGCTTCACATGGTGTCTATTCCTCATGTCAAAGGCGGCCATTTATTTTGGAGTTAAGTCAGTGGCCTGCCACTGAGTAGTGCTCCCAGTCTTAATGACAAAGGCAGACTACTTCACCCAGTCATGATCTCAAGCTTTACAAGCTTGATACCCTAATGTGATTGAGTGGAGATAAGAAAGAAGAAGAAGACATCAACCTTCTGTTCCCCTTAATGTTCTCTTTGTATTATAAGGTATTAGAAGGTAGATGTAAACTCATCTTGGACAAGAAGAAAGTCTTTTATGTCGCCAGTTCTCTTATTTTTTAAAGGAGACAGAGGCTTGGTTATCTTGTGTGTCTTCAATAAAGGTCATTGTGTATCAAATATCTTTTAGAGTTATTGTCTGAATCCCGATATACATGCTAAAAGGTACAACTTCCTTAAGTTTTGTCCATGAGTGTTTTTCAGAAATGGGTATTTAAGGCGAAACTTGCGTTAATTCGCTTAACACATGAAAAAAAAATGATAGAAAAATAAATAAATAAAAAGGTAGAGTGTTGATATTAAAAACAAAAAAAAAGCATATCCTGACCAGGATAACATGCGCTTTACAGAAGGCAGAGCTAATCTGGTGGAACAGAAATCAACTAAACATTGATTTAACCTGTTCCCTGATATTTGGCCAACCTAATTTCTTGATAAATCAAGAAAAGCCATCCATGAATTCTTATATAGGATATAAGGTAATTCCCTTACTGTAATAAACACAAGGTAATAAGACCAAATCAATAAATAGTGTGTGACAGCGTTGTTACCATTTGTCTGAAGACAAAAGTACTTGTAATGTAGATAGAGTTGAACCTGTCTATAGCGCCCCCTCTTGGGACTCACCAAAATATGGTGCTATAGACAGGTCACTTTTAATGTAAATTGCATCGTACTACGTATTTGAAATTGGGCGCTATAGAGAGGAAGGTGCTACTTAGAGGGGGCGGTATAGACAGGTTTAACTGTATATAGAAATATACCGGAGGAGCTAGTGGGATGGCCGGGGCTGGTGGAATCCTCCGTACAGAGAGACGGTGAACAGGCCGGTCCAAGGTCAGAGCTGCCAGAGTGACCCCTTCCTCCGCAGCACCCTCTGGCCATCCTTGCCATTCCTGCTGCCAGGCCGGGATATTACTCAAGCCCCGGAAATCTTGACGGATCTGGAAACACACACAGTCATGTGTCAAAACAGAATAACCTTAATTTTACCACCGTAGTAAAACACCAAAATGTTTCTTTTTATTATTATTATTATCGATACAAGATATCAATCCAGAAGAGGACATCCATATGAACAAGGCACCTCAGTTGCCCGGTATTGTGATCAGGATGTATGGACCGATCTGATCTGTTCCATGGACAAGACACCACCACCACCTCAGTTGGCTGGTATTGTGATCAGGGTGCACATGGCGTCTGTTCCGCATGTTAGAGACGGCCATTTCTTTTTTTTTTTTTTTTTTTGCTTATCCCTAGTACACGTGGTACAGGCCATGATAATCATGGTGGGTAGTTAGCGACTGCTTTTTACTGTAAGCGCACCACATGTCTACACATGTGAAAAGCAGTTCGACTTTGCACTTACAAATGCCAGAGCCCCGTTTGGTTACTTGCACTCGCTGGTGGGGTTGGACTTTTGCAAGAATCGGGGGCCATTGGAGCATTTTTTTTTTTAAACAGAAAAAAGTGTCCAATGCGGGAATCGAACCCGGGTCCTAGTGGTCGAAAACCAAACGGTTTAACCAGCCTTCCACCGACCCCCCGACGGCCATTTCTTTTGAAGCTAAGTCAGTGGCCTGTTACTGATTAGTGCTTCCAGTCTTAATGACAAAGGCATTCTACTTCACCCAGTCATGATGGTTGTCAAACAGACACCATCAAGGGTCACAACTTTATATCCTAATATGATTGAGTGGAGATAAGAAAGAAGAAGAAAATGACAAAGGCAGACACATTCTACTTCACCCAGTCATGATGGTTGTCAAACAGACACCATCAAGGGTCACAACTTTATATCCTAATATGATTGAGTGGAGATAAGAAAGAAGAAGAAAATGACAAAGGCAGACACATTCTACTTCACCCAGTCATGATGGTTGTTAAACAGACACCATCAAGGGTCACAACTTTATATCCTAATATGATTGAGTGGAGATAAGAAAGAAGAAGAAAATGACAAAGGCAGACACATTCTACTTCACCCAGTCATGATGGTTGTTAAACAGACACCATCAAGGGTCACAACTTTATATCCTAATATGATTGAGTGGAGATAAGAAAGAAGAAGAAAATGACAAAGGCAGACACATTCTACTTCACCCAGTCATGATGGTTGTTAAACAGACACCATCAAGGGTCACAACTTTATATCCTAACTAGACGAATGACCCAGGCAACGCCCGGGTTTACCCGATTAAATGTTCTATTCAAACACTATACAAAACTGTGCGCGAGCACAGGGAAGTCACGTGCTCGCCGGCAGCCAACGGTCGGTGGGAACTTGGACTGTCCAACCGGCCGGCAGCCGGACGATTACATTTTCTCGGAGGGGGGGGGGGGGGGGGCCGGGGGGCAGGGAAGTCACGTGCTCGCCGGCAGCCAATGGGCGCGCGCCGCCGTCATATCGCCGGCGTTCTAGAGGGCGCTGCTCGTGAGCTAAGTTGAATAATTTGAATATATAGTTTTAATAATTGATTTATATATTTTTTTTAAATAGCCTATCGTCATCCCCGTTATTTTTTACCTATGTATGGAAATTTTGGTTTGAATTAGTGAACTACTGTGAATTTGTATACCGAGCATACAAACCAACAAACATACAAACATTCATTTTTATATATATAGATAGATATGATTGAGTGGAGATAAGAAAGAAGAAGAGTTTCCATATTGGTCCAGGAGGTATATATGTAGTGACTCACCTCGGCAAGAGTTTTGGAACCTGGGACCCGAAGGACATATTCACGGTCGGCATCCTCGTCCCGGATGACCAGTTGGTAGGTATGGTTGAGCTTCTCAGCAAAGCTGGTAACACTTCGGAGGTTTATACCAGACAGGGAGGATATGGAGTAAGTACTGACCTATCTCCAGTGATCAGGTTGGATGCTGTGGTCGCAGTGAGGGAGAGATGGAGTGTAGGACCAAGGGACAGGTCACACAGACGAGCCTGTCGTCACAACAACAGTTGCCTATATCTCTGCCGTTACAACACTAGTTTTCTACATATCTGGTATTACATGAGAGGAAAACTTTCACTTCCCACAATTCTGAGACAATACCTATCCAACAACGCTGTTACCAAAATGTCACGAAACATTTCAACAAAACCGAGCCTACGTCACAACAACAGTTGCCTATATCACTGCCGTTAAAACACTAGTTTTCTACATCTCTGCCGTTACAGGAGCTGAAAACTTTCACTTCCCACAATACTGAGACAATACCTTTCCAACAACACTTATAAAAACACCACGAAACCTTTCAACACAACCGAGCGTGTCATCACAACAACAACAGTTGCCTATATCTCTGCCGCTACAACACTAGTTTTCTACATCTCTGCCATTACAGGAGGAGAAAACTTTCACTTCCCACAATACTGAGACAATACCTTTCCAACAACACTTATAAAAACGCCACAAAACCTTTCAAAAATTTTAATTTGGGTCCTGTGTTACCTTCCAAACTATGGCACCCACCCTGTCATTACAGATTAACACACACACAACACTATAGAAACAACAGATTTGTGATAGTTAGGAGAATCAATGAGAGGACTCTGCCCAATGTATATACAGTAAAACCCCTCTATAGTGAACCCCAATGGGACAGAGCTTTTGGTTCACTATAGCCACGGTTCACTATAGCCACGGTTTGGCTATTTTTTTTTACTTTTCAAAAATTTTTGGCCCATATAATTAAAAAACAGCCATACACACAAGAAGAGGCTGCCTCTTAATAGTGGTCACTTTATTTTAATTCCCTTAATTGACTAATTTCCTTATATTAATACTGAATAATAATAGAAATCATTAGATAATAGGTTCTTCTTATGATTAACATACATGTACCTCTATGTCTAAGTTAAAAATCAAGACAAATCCTAGGCAAAGTTTTATTAAATATATATTCAAAGATATGAAATGATTTTAAAACATCATTATCACATTATATAATACAATTTTTACTTGAAAAAAATGGCTCTAATACCTTGTTGTTTCAAAGCATTCTTCCAAGCATTGCACCATTCAAATAAAGTTAGTGTTTTTCTTCCCTTTCATGTTTCCCCATATTCTTCTAGGTCTAGATTTCGTTTTTTTTTTAACCTGCCATGCAAAACATTGCTGACTTTAAAATCACCATAGTTAATGGCATAAAAATAATTTTTGTTTCATCACGGGACCGTTTATTTGGACTTTTTTTTTTTTTAAGTTCTAAAACGTACGATCGCGATCGCGGCAAAAGTTGAAGTTGATTCCTCTTTGTAACAATTTTTAATAACTTTATATTTTATCTTTTATAATAGAAAAGTTATATTCTCTTATTTTAATATGTTCTTAACATTTTGCCTATGTTGTTTCACTTTGAAAAGTTCTGAAAATGGCCTTTTTTTTTTTAATGAAATAATGCTTTTGTTTTTAAAATGCCTTTGTTTTCTTCATTTTGGAAGCCATTTGCATTTTTTATATTTCAAATTTAATGGATGCAAAGATATTCTAATTAATAAAAAGTATAATGTGTAAAAATTTATACAACATACAGCAAAAATAAAGTGCAAAAATCAAACTAACA